CTTTCACGGTAATCGTAAGAGCGACTGTTGCTTACAAGTGAATTCTGGGTAAATTCAAATTTAAAAAATTGAACCCTCAGCACTTGATTTCGCCATTACAATAATTAAATGTAAATGAACGCAGTTCTAAATTGGGAATTATTGTGGTCCTTTCACAAATAAAACACACACACAAGTCAGTCACTAACACATCACACAACACACACACAATCACAATTCACCACACATTCACAAAACACACACACACAGGCACAACACACACACACACACACACAACACAACACACACATAACAAACAGCACACAACACACACACTAGGACAGAGGAAAATGTGAAGCACAATATTGAAAACTGAATCCCCCGCCTCATTTATTCCTCTCTTCTTCTCTTGTCCGTCTTGATTGCAAGGCAGGGTACTTCTGTTTCCAGCCTCCCATAATGACCTCACACTTCTCTCCATCGTTCCCCTCTCCTCCACAACTATTTCGCTGCTCGCTTGTATTCTCCTCCACTCTTTTGTATCTGGTGGAACCCCCCCCCCCCCTCGTTCCCCCTCCCCCACACACGACACACACACACACACACAACTCCAACATCTTCAGGTGAAGGCTGAAGCTTTAAACAGTCCTCCTCCTCGTCTGCAGATGTTTTACAAACCCTAAACATTTTTCTGCTGGTAATGAGGCACACACATTGTCGCACACACACACACACAACACACACACACACACACTGCACACAGACACCAGTTTATAAACCAGTATGAACACATCACACATAGCACTATTCAACACACACCACACACACAAGTCACACCACACACACACAGACACCAGGTATAAAGCGCAGGTATAAACACACACACAGCACTGATCTTCCAGAGACAGACCTTCTCTTCTCATATATAATTAGTTGTTCATATCCTGCTTCTGGGAGTCTTTCAATTAGCTGTTTTGTGGGCAGAGGGAGGTTTACAGGAAGTGAGTCCCTCTGGTTAAAACCGTTGTCCTCCCATTAATATATAACCGGACAACCAGTCTTGCCATTCTTTACCATAGCTCCAAATCAGGTGTCTTTACTGGCTGCAGTCGGGTGTCTTTACTCGGCTCCATCATTTGTCCGTTTACCAGCTCCATCAGTCGTCTTTAACTGCCTGCATTCGGTGTCATTGGTGGCAGGCGCCGGCCCAGTGGATCAGTCCATAGGCCTGGAATTTTCTTTTCCCAGTCCGACCTGTGGAGTAAAGATGTGTCATGATTGTTTTTCATTAGTGACGGCTACAGTAGACATGTCT